GTCAATGAAGAGGACATTATTGAGATCGGCATTCCAGTATTCCGCCAGAGAGACGATGTTATTGTTTTGCAGATATAGATGTGTCAGCATGCGAAGTCCAGCGAATGTGTACCTCAATAGAGTCAAAATTCTGTTGTTGTTAAGGTAGAGTTCAACCAGGGATACCATTCCACAAAACGATCTAGGCTCTATGCGAGAGATCTTATTGGACTGGAGTGTGAGGTTTTCCACTGATCTAAGATCGGAGAAAACACCTTCGTGGATTATTGCTATAGAGTTATTTTGTAATGTTATTTCTTCAAGACCTTCCAAAAACTTGAATGAATCTCGATGAACTCTCCTAATATTTGCTGCTTGCATATCAATCCGGGTCAGGCGGACCATGCCGTAGAATAAACTTGGCGGCAGTTTCTTGAGTTTGTTTTTGGAGAGCTGAAGTGTCGTCAGCTTGCCAAGATCCCGTCCCCAACCAACCTCAACCGTCATGATAGAATTGTTGCGGAGTTGCAAGTCATAGAGGGATATAAGGAAACTGAAGGAGCCATTCTCTAAAGCTTTCAGATTGTTATTTTGCAGGTAAAGATACCTGAGTTGAACCATACCCTCAGCCCAGTTGCTTTGTAAGCGAGTGATTTCATTATTGGAAAGGTCTAAGGATTCTAAGCGTGTGAATAAGCACCAACCGTTTCGACCGATGGAAGATATTTTGTTTTCGGATAGGTCCACCAGAGAGACATTGTCAGCACCGTCACACCATCCTGGAAACAGGATTGTGATTTTGTTGTGACTCAGAAGGATACTTTTTAAGTGACCGAGTCCAACAAAGGTTGCGTTGTGCATTGCTGTCAGAAGATTGTAATTCATGGACAATCTATGAAGTTTGATGAGGTCCTTCCCCCAGACGACCTGGAGATTCTGGATCAAGTTGTTATCGAGAGACAGGATCGTCAAAGAAGTGGCCCCTTCGAAACTGTCACCCATAACACTATCAAGACGATTGTTTTCCAAGTTCACAGTTGTGACAGACGGTGAGATTGTGGGTATGCGATTGAGATTCCTTCCATAGCAGTCCAGCATGTCACCATTCCTAGAGCAATTGTCAGGTGTGGTCGTGGCTTCTTTCATGGTATGCAGTATAACCACTGTCATTAAAGCAATATGTAGATAATAACTATCCATCGTGGCCTTTGATTGGATCAAGTTTAGAGGATGAGCTCACTAAGTTTTCTCAGGTCAGCGGCAAAATCTGTAGAATGATGGTAAAATTTGATTAAAACAATATTACTTCCAGCTTATCACAGCTTTGTTTTACTAATTAAAAAAAAACGCTCGATCCTTGAATGCATTTTTTTCCTGTTTCTATTTTTTCTTCTATTTCGGGCAATATTTATCCTAAAGGCTTTATTTGTACATTTACACATAATTTAGAAACTTGAAGGTTGCCATTCGTATTCGCGATGACAACCCCCTCCCCCCCCCCCCTGCCTCCTCCTTGACATCTTGTCCGAGAAACCTTTACTTGTATGATTATTCAAATAATGAATATACATGTAGTAGGCCTATCTATATTTTTTTTAATGTCCATTTCAGGTAAAGCATTTGCTAATGCATTAGCTGTGTAATCTTGGTGGGATTACAAGACTTGTAATGTCAAAAAATATGTAACTATACACTTCAAATATTATTGAATTTTAATTACAAGACAACATCATAAAATATTCAGTTTTGTTTACAATAAAATGAACTTACGAGTTGGCTTATCTTCCGAGTCGTTGTTTTCCCACGGCGTTATGGAAAAAATTGTATGTGTCCTGTCGATGTATACGTCAAATACTTTTGAATAGATAAGCACTGACTGATATTCATAATCCGAGTATTGTATAAAGTATGATATCAAGGATTATATAAATAGATATAGTGCTTGGTCATAATATGCAATTTTTGTGTGGGATTGATCGAAAGAGAAAAGAGGAGGGATGTAAAGTTTCTAACGATGTAGTTTCATAACCCTGTCACATTGGGGATCTCTTTCAGCGAACCAGAACGATTTACGAGTTGACTGATCGATACACTTCCTCCTCTCATATATTAAAAATCAAACTAGAAACCATGGAATTTATTATTTTTCGAAAATGTAGGATTATCAAAATCACTTAGATTATTTTTTTCTTTTTTTGAATTCCAGGTTCTTCTTTTCTTGCTCATCGTCATTTATCATCTATGTCTAGGTTTGCGGCGGTGAAATTGCAATTTGTAAAAGTTCCTTATAATACTCGTCATGCCTCCTGATTGTAAAAAATGCCAGATAGTTGTGTTTCCGGTTTAATTGATGTCGTGAGAAGAGAAAGATATGAGGAGATAATTGATTTAACCTTTGAAACAATACTCGTGTGACTAAGGCTCAACTCGTGACAACTATACACTTTCACGATTGAGTATATGCGGTGATATTTTTGATTGCTACAAGGGGAGGCGTTACTTTCAAGTGTACTTTAAAAGCCTCTATTGCAACAAAATACGATGGAAAGGGACGGCTTCCCCCTTTCTAATTAGCATTTACCAATATTAGTTTCCAAAAACGTTGACCTATATATAAACCAATATGTAAAATAAATAGGCTTGAGGTCATCCTGTATTGTTTGCAAGCACCATAAACAACACGTAAAATTTTATTTAAACTAAATAGACCAAACATATTCAATAGTTCATTAATCACATTAATAGCAAGCTACTCCAAAGCAAAGCAACAAAAAGGTAAGGCTTAGTTTTTAATGTTACATAGTTTGAACCTGTAACTTTTCGTCAATATCAATGAAACAGATTTGGCACCAGAGAATATTTTACCCACAGATTGGTTTCTCTAATCTTAGATGAATTCAAGAAATTCAATTATATTACACATGTCTAACAGTGTGTGACACCTTATCTAACTCAAAAAATGATTAACCTTTTATGAATCAATTTAGTTAAAATCCTACAAAAAGTCTTTAAATATCTGTTCTCAAATACATCTATAATTTTACCACGATTTTGTTGAACACTTCTTTTTTGACGTCTCCCCTCCCCTGTTTTTGGTGATCACTGTCTAAGGTATTATCAGTATACTGCTTAACATATTCTAACTACCATATGACCCAATATGTTCCAATTCTATTTTTATGAAAGATAAAAAATTAATGTTTTGGGTAATATTTTTTCCCGTTAGGGTGAGCTGGGACACTTTGCCAGGGACACTATCCCAAAATATGGCATGAGTAGGTTGAGGTTGATGAAATAGACGGTAAATCGGCAGTGCATTCCATGAGTGATACACAATAGGAAGTCCAACATGATTAATTGATTAATATATGGCTTGGTATATTTTGTTGGCAAAAAGGATTATTTTTGTCAAACCAGGTCTGATCCTGGAAATGAAAATGTGAAAATACTCAAAAATGATATTTCAGGTATAATTTTAATCCTAAAATCAACTCTATCATCAATTGTTCTTAATAATAATAATAGCCTAATAGTCCACTCCAAATTTTATTAAACCGAAACGGAAATTCTTTTTGCCCAATAAAAAAGCAAATCCTTAAACAACAAGGTTTCCTGGAAATGAAAATGTGAAAATACTCAAAAATGATATTTCAGGTATAATTTTAATCATAAAACCAACTCCATCATCAATCGTTCTTAAGGAGACTATACAAAAGCGAATCATTAAACAACAAGATCATTTTTCTCAATTTTATTCCTCGCTCTATGAGGCTGAGATACACCCTTTTGCCAGTGTTTAATTCGGATACGAGAATAATTCCGTGAACAGAATCATTCGAGAGTAATTCTGGGGACAAAATCACTCTGCGAGATGGATTTCGTGACAAGATCACATTGTGAGTTGACTGTTTTGACAAAATCAATAATTTTGAGTGATTTTGTGATGGAATCACAAATGTGGTACATAGCGCCCCATCGATATGTGAATACATAATAAGCATATTGATCCTACATATTTTTAAAGCTCACACATAATACAGAAAAGCCGTTACATCTTAAAGGTAATACAAATTTTTGGTATGGGGTCATGAATTTGGTTCAAATGAACATATTGGAAGCATATGAGAGCCTACAATATTCAGTGATCGTTGTCGCTGTTGAAATCGAGTCTAAAGTGATGAATTTGTGAATAATATTAAACTATGGTGTATAGCTAAAGATTGATATTACTTTAGCTACAAAACAATGTTTCTTGAGTAAAATCGACCGATTTTCTATTGCCGTTTGGAAAATATCAGAGCTGCATGTTCCGAGATGTTTATGGTCGCAGCTACCATTGTATGGCCGTAGGCGCTATTTGAAATTTATCGGGAGCACCGATAACTTTGATATATTAATTTCTCGAAATCCTTAGCGTTTAAGAGCCCAATTAATTCCATAACCCAATCCTGTTGAAATATTACCAAAAGTTCGCATAACCTTTAAGTGTAGATCTTGTTGCGAAATTGCATAAAGTGAAACAGAGAGCGTATACATACACATACAATTATGCACATGATTAATTAAATACACACTTACTTAGTTTTAAGTGTAGACAGGCCCCTCGGTCGTCCAAAAATAAAAATTTCACTTCCATAGGTTGTTTGGGGTTTTGACAAAAATACGGATAATATAAAAACAGTCATTGCTTAGGAATGGGTCTATATTATTTTCGTATATTATTTTCCTACATTAAAATGAAAGTCTAGCCGAATTAATCCATTAGTCCGTATCAGCTGAATCAGTAGTGGAGCTAAAGGTAGATGGAGAGCCCCCCTCCCCGAATGACGTTTAAAAAAAGGAGGATAATAAGCAAGAATACGGAAAAGAGGAAAAGGGGGTGACCCTCCTCCCTCGCACATATCCTTCTCCCAACCTGTGGCTTTGTTAATTCTCCTTTCTTCCCATCAATGACCGGAGACGCTCCTTCTGTAATAACCCCCCCCCCCCCCCACCCCCATCCACCATGGCTAATCCCAGGCTACGCCACTGCTTTTAGTTACAATCTAGTCGAGACTTCTGGCGTATTGACTTCATAGGCAAGGTTATAGACTCCTTGAGACTTCCATTCTCCTCCGCCATTCACCTCAGACGCTTCAGACGGTCGCTCTACTCCGTTTGGTTTGGCCGCTCGAGGAAGGTGAATGTTCAGGGATGTCTTCCATCGGCAGCAAGTAGAGGAACATGAAATCACACGCCAGATTGAGTGATAGAACTTTTCATGCGAGAGGGCGTACAAAAACGGATTGATAAGACTGTTTAGTTGATACAATCCTTGAGCAACGTTGAATACGATGATGACGAGGGATGGGTCCACTAAGAGAGATCCGCCAAATGCAATCCACAAGAAAGTTGCGATGTAGAATCCTTGGATGACAGCAAATAGAACGACCACGAGCATGGATGCGCGTAACACTGCGTGTTTCTGTTTATTCCGTCTCTTTCGCGTTTGGTCCGATGCTCGCTCGTCAGAAATACGATTCTTCCAGATGGTGCGCATAATCGCCGTGTAACAACCGAAGATGATGAGAAGAGGGATGATGTACGTGAAGACAGCTCCCAATGAGATCAGATATTTGGCATTAGGTTCCTTCCAAGCTTCCAGATTTTTACTTTCGATGGGAGCACCGAAATAAGTGCCTCCAAAACAGAACGAAACTGCAAACATGAAAGAAGTTTTTAAAAATATCCATGTAAGGGCATATTTTTATCAAGTCTTAATATCGTCTTTTAATGACGGATCAACACAGTGACAGTATCGTAGTGTCATATATAAATAAACTGTTGGGAGCATTTCATATAAATAGGAAATGTTACAAACGTGTCAATAGGCCTACTGCATTTTTTTGTCGGGACAAGTAACATAATGTTTGTGACACATTATCATTTTCTACACCTGCAGACGAGGCTTAAAGGGTCTTGAAAGTAAATTATGCCGATAGAACAGCATGGTTTTTCCGACAGAACTTTATAACTAAGTATTAAATGACCTCATCCTCCCAAAATTGTCTGAAAGTAATAATATTTTCTTTTATTTTATAAGCCCATCAGCCGAAATTCTTCATGCAAGCAACAAAATAAATGAAATAGATAAATAAAGGTAACTGTTTAAATCTCCGAAGAGTCCATAGGGAGCGCTACCATCGTTTAACCATCATACCTTTGATTAGGAGAGTTTGCCCAATACAACCCATTTCGAGCTGACAAATGATGACTACTGCTTATTCGCGGCCAGCACAATACAAAAGATTGTACGCTATGAAAGCAAGTTGGCCCAACTCTGTGTACAGATGGCTCTGTTTAATAGTTTCACAGCTAGTTATATGAAACTTCACCCCAAGAAATAACTTATATTATTCTGAGAGATTTATTTTATTCTTGCTCATTAATAAAATTATACAAGATTTTGTAAAAGGTATGTCATAGGGGTGGGAGAATATATATCTTACAAATCCAGACGGCAACACAGATTTTGATAGCACGATTCTTAGTACGATACTTCTGGGATCGCAAGGGGTAGACGATAGCGAAGAACCTGTCAACGGTGAGGGCGATCATCATTGCAACTGTTGCCATAACAGTCACCTTTAAAAAGAAAATAAATGACATGAGTAAAAGATAGCAGCGATGAAAATAAATCGTCTAACGAACTCCTACAAAATGATCGTAAATATAAAATTATGTTTAAGATTAGACTATGGGTACGCAATGTAGCCGTCATTAATCCAAAAGCATAATCTTCTCCATATAGGCCTATCGCAAACAATGTTATTCATAATCCGCATAATTTTCATTAAAACCTTATTTTCATTAAATCATATCCATAGCTGTCATCGTCTTAACCTGGCACGATTGAAGATTTGTTTTTGTTATTGTTATTGTTGTTGTTGTTGGTGGTGGTGGTGTAGGTGCTGGTGGTGGTGTTTACAGTGACGCGTTGGTGATGATTTTGTGATTGTTGATGATGCTGATGGCAGATGATGATGATGATAATGGTAAGGATGATAATTGTGTTGACGATAATGATGATGATGATGTTGATGATGTTGATGATTTTAATGATGATGATATTATGAAGATGATGATGTTGATGATGATGTTGATGATGATGTTGATGATGATGTTGATGATAATGATGATGATTATGATGGTGGTGGTAATGATGATGATGATGACGATGATGATGATGATGCTGATGATGTTGATAATTGTTATAATGATGATGATGATGATGATGATGAAGAAGATGTTGCTGTTGATTATCAGCTATAATATAAAGGGCGAGATCATCTTCGTTTTCATTTAAATCTTACCAACTCCATGTAGAATACGAAAGTCTGTGTGCTTTGGTACTCCTCTACTTGGAATGCTCCGATGTAATACTCATAACAATTCGACCCTGCTACAAACAACAGCGCCATCACATCCGAGATTGCAAGATTCGTAATGTAGATGCTCGGGATTGTCCACATCTCGCGAGACGCGAGAATCACGCCGATCACGAGAAAGTTGGCGATGACCCCGAATACGATGTTAAACAGGGTGGTGAAGAACATGATAGTAGAGAGGAGAATGGTCAGGTCACATTCATCGTCGAGAAGCACGAAGGTACAGGAATGGTTGACTATAGTAGGTGTCGTGTAAGACACACTCGATCCTGCCGTGACTGCCGCTGCCATCCTGGTAGTTGCGTTCATTGTCAATGTAAGATTGGCCTACGTTGTCCAAACCTGTATCAAGGATAATGCAAGGAATTTAATCAATTCAATAATTATTTTAAAAGTTATATAATATTTTAATCACATAGAAAATGTAACTTCTCGTATAAAGAAAAGAAAAGAATGTCAATGAATCTTGCAAATTTGGTGGCTTTGTATCTGTTACCCTAACCACTTGAAACACAAACGGTCACCCAGGTATGGTACTTCTACGATTTAGTAGATGGAACATTAAAAGGATTTCTTGTTAAAGACCGCAAATGCCTTCTAAGCGCATGGTTATTGCTCTGATTCATATTTATGAAATTTCTGGTGCCCTTTTAGAACCTAAAACCTAAATATTTGGAATGGTATATAGAGCCTATTCGTTGCTTTGTGGTGATTTACATTCACCTAAACTTAAATTAAATTAAAATAATATAGTTGGGAGATTTCAGAAATCGATCAGATCCGTTTTTCCCAATTGTTGTTAATGATAATGGCCTGTTTTCACTCAAACTTTCAGATAATTATCTTTAATTGTACATCTAGCATTGAAGTAACTACCTTAGCACCAGTTTCTCTCATCTGAACAAAGTTACCAAGTCCCTTTAAGTTAGAACACGATACCGCCAAAAAAGGCTTTTAGTTGCCATGGGTACATAAACAAATGTTGACAACCATCAAGCTTGTCGTAGACGTCACTTGCGCCATTAGTACTTCACTAACGGATTCTATAACACATACATCAATGGAGAAGTGATGGTAAATACGTTTAGAGTTAGAGATAGTTTGCTACTTTATACTATTATTTGGAATGGATATGTATTAAACTAAGCGGCCACCAACTCATATTTGTTATTTCAATTGCACCAAAAAGATTCTATTTAGACTCTACATAGATGCAAAGTGATTACCTAGCATATTTTCCCATTCTCTTTAAAAAGGGAAATGCATTACTAGTATTATAACAGCATGGAATTGGTCAAGACTGTACCTAAAGGGTCTTTTAGGGTAGAAAATATGAGATGGCATACTCTTTTGGAAGGAGGGTGCTTTGCAATTAAGGTATGTCAATAACTTTAAGAAAAGCCCGCTAGTGAGTAATGGATTATTTAATCATCAAATTTGATTCATTTTCTTCATCGAAAGGAAAAATTTGATAATATCAAGGAAACCATGTGTTTGCTCCAAATCATGATCAAAACAAACTATGATCAACTTTGTAATATTATTAAAATTGTAATAGATAGGCTACCCAGCTTGAAGATCAGCTGTGTAAATGCTATACTCCTTCATCTAACAAAGAAATCATTCACACCCGTACTCTCTGTTTTATTTCCTAGGAGAGTGTACATGTATATTTCCTTGTATCTTTTATAATTGAGGACTCTGCCTACTAGAGCCTCCATGGTGCCCATATACAATCAGCGCTGACATTGTTCATACATCTAATATTCTTCTTGCCCTAATTAGTATTATAAGGACACCGTCTAATGGAATCGGATAATCTGCAAACTAAGAGGGTTAATTAGTGGATACCATCACACAGGTTGAGAAAGAAGCTGTATATTTGATTAAAATTTGAAGAAAGGTATATTAACCAATCAGCAATATTGATTATACAATGACAACTTTACAGATACTCTGTAAATAAATTATTGAAAGGCTAAAGATCTTGATGTTTGTTCGTGGACGTAGATCTTTCATTGACAAATAAATTAGTAACCTAGAGCTCGCGAGCATAATTATAGAGCATACAAGGGGCCTTCACACCTACAGAAAAAAGTTCACTAAGATTAAAGAACGACTGTCTCCTTTGAAAACAGAATAAGCATTTCCTGTGCGGCATATCATCGAAAGTTATGCCCAGTTAATATTGGATATACTTGAGAGTTGAGAAGAATACAACCAGGAAAGGAAAACGTATTTCATTGTTCTCAAGAAAGTGAGTATAGATTTAAGTCAAATAATTCTCTCTCTCTCTCTCTCTCTCTCTCTTTCTTTCTTTCTCTCTTTCTCTCTTTCTCTCTTCTTCTTCTTCTTCTCTTCCAATATATATATCTCCCTTTTACTCACTATCACTTGTAATATCTCTCTCTCTCTCTCTCTCTCTTTCTCTCTCTCTCTCGCTCTCTTACTCTCTCGTCTCTTCTCCATATCGCTCTGGCTTTCTCTGTCTTTCCCTCTCTTCCTCTCTCCCTCTCTCCCTCTCTCCCTCTCTCCATCTCCCTACCTCTCTCTGTCTGTCTCTCTCTCTCCCCCTCTCTCTCTCTCTCCCTCCTTTTTTTTCCCCTTTATTTACTTATGTTTTTTTACTCATTCAAGTTCTCTCTCCATTCACTCCCTATACACCTCTCTCAAGCATGTCAAATCACAAATGACTTAGGTTTGTTTGGTGGACACAATAATTGGCAAATATACCCAGTCCACACAAGCCCGAGTATTTTAAAAGCCACAAACCATTTAAATCCTACTTCCCTTTTACAGTTGTTAGTACTGCGTGAAATTTCAAGTATGCTTTACAAAGCTATTGTTAGGTAAAGATGAATTAGGCATGTCAAAATCATATAATACTCTTCATAGGGGATAGTGTGAATAACGCCAGTGATTAAAACAGCATGAATATTTTGTCGATTTCGTTTCGGTAAACAAGAAGCCATTTCAGCATGAAAGTCATGATTAAGTACAGGGTGAATTGAGAAGTCTACATCTCTGAAAACAGTGTACAAAAATAGATATATATATAGAGAGAATAAAGGAACAGTTTGACTTGCAATTATAGCTTGATATGGGGATATATATATATCAATTTCTCTTTTTTTTTTCGTCTCTCAATCCATCTAATTCTCCATCTCTCCAACTTCCCTCTTTCCGTCTTTCAGCTCTCGTTCATCTCCCATGCAGCTCTCTCTCTCTCTCTCTCTCTCTCTCTCTCTGTATTTCTCTCTCTGATACACCTTTTCGGTAATATTTAGCCCTACGTTGTTTTCTTTTCTTTTATCTGACATGTAATTGACGGGTTTACTAATACATTCATTTTTTAAGGTTTCTTTCCTGGGGACCTAGTGAAATGTTATTACATTAATGTGTTACAGTAAATGAACTCCACTACTTGGAATCCAATCTGCATACATTAATTTGAGTTATGTCGGGCAAGTCCGGGCAAGTATACAGGTCTTAAAAACTAATCCTTGTTTAAATAGTACGAGTAACATTTGAATATGTTAGTAAACCGGTTTATTGACTAGTATACATATCAGTTCGTGTTTCATCAACATTTCCCCCAAAAAGGAAATAAATGTGTTGACTTACTTCGTCTAAAACGCGCACGTAATTAATCCGGACGCCTTGTATGACCGGATTATATTTAATGATACTCGAGTTACAAACGTTTCCTTCAATTATGTCGGTAATAAAAAGTCATCCTCTGTACAAACTACTGTAATCAATATAGGCCGATAATCTTGTCAAGGTACTTACCTGAAATCTTAGAAGCCTGAAAACACCCGATGGTTTCCTGCCTACACCATCACGAAACCAAAAGTAGCGTAGTTTGATGTCATCCTCGTTTTTTCTGTTAGTCGGTTACTGGTTCCGTGGTGGTGGTGTGAACCATAATGATGTCAGCCCCCAAATATGCACGAAACAACTATTTTACACCTATCATACCTGATAATCTACTACACAACATATTGATATTCCATTGGAGCGTAGCATGGTTAATAATCATTACTAAGGGCGGTTTAAATCTCTCCAAAACCACATTGTCCATTAGCATAGAGCTCCCAAGCGGGCGAATGAAAAATATAAACACTTCATCATTCACGCCATTTATTCGGAAGCATTATTACACTAGCAGTCGATTCTGCCGTTTTTTGAGCTGTTGTATTGTGTTGACACATTAGTCAAGATTACCCGACCGGAGAGATTTCAACAGAATATGAGTGGAGATCCTTTGACAAACCTAATATTGGGATTCTATTGACATCTCAATTTGAAGGCCGAAGCTTGTAATGGGATAGTCTGATTTTTTTTGTTACAAGCGACGTACACGCATGTGTACAGTATATGGAGACTCCCATGATTGGATTCGTCTCTAACAAAATGATCCTAAATTGTTAACGTCATTTCTACCAAAATTCCAAATATTCAAATTGTGCAATTAAATGACTCATATTTTGGGAATCCTAACGTGAGAATGTTAATTATTTATATCGTTCACTGAAAATATCACACTTCCTTTAATGATGATGATTATTAAAGTGAAATTGAATCAGCAAACGAGTTAAACCTCTTTCGGTTTGATTTTTTAGATATGAAGATTGCATCTGCTGTTCAATATCATATTTTAATGACGTGTTAATTTATTTCTGGACGATCCTTACCCCAACCATACCGCTTCAGTCAATGCTTTAGTTCATATCATGAGTTTGTGATTGATGCTCTTCCTTTATCTATTGTAAAATTGACTGTAAGTCATCCGGAACATATTTTATTGTGAATGCATTAAATGATAATACAAACCAAAGGGAAACTCAACCGTGATAGTATTTGAGTAGCTTTGTTTGCTAACAATCAGGCCAATTTCAAAACAGAAACAAGTAAACACAGTTTGTTGCCTGCAAATTCTCTCTCTCTCTCTCTCTCTCTCTCCCCTCTATCTCTCTCTCTCTCTCTCTCTTCTCTCTTTCTCTCTCTCATTCTATATATATCTCTCTCGTTCGATCTACATCTTACTCTATCTATCTCTCTTTCTCTTCTCTTCTCTCTCTCTCTCTCTATCTCTCTCTCTTTCTCTCTCTCTCTCTATCTCTCTCTCTCTCTATCTCTCTATCAATCTATTTCTCTCTCTCTCTCCCTCTATCTCTCTCTCATTCTTTATATATATATATATATATATATATATCCTTCTCTTCTCTCTCTCTCCATCTCTCTCTCTCTCTCTATCTTATATCTATCTATCTTTTTCTCCTCTCTTC